TGTAGTTCTCTTTTTGGGTTGGGTCTTTCCCTGGTTTTGGAATCAAAGTAATACTTGCTTCTAGGAGTGAATTTGGAAGCCTTGTTTCCCTTTCAATTTCCTTGAGTTTAAAGAGTAATGGTGATAGTTCTTGTTTAAATGTCTTGTTATACAATTCAGCAGTGAAGCCATCAGGACCTAGGCTTTTCTTTGTTGGTAAATTTTTAATTACATTTTCAATTTCACTGATTGTAATTGGGGTGTTTAGAATTTCTATATCTTCTTCCTTTAACTTTGGCAATTCGTATGTATCTAGGAATCTTTCCATTTCTTCTGTGTTTTCCCTTTTATTAGAGTACAGGTTCTTGAAGTAGGTATTGATGATGCTCTGGATTTCTGCTGGGTCTGTTGTGACTTCACCTTTTTTGTTCTTAATTGCATAGATTTGAGCCTTTTCTTTCTTTTTTTTGATAAGGTTGGCTAAATGTTTATTGATTTTATTTATTCTTTCAAAAAACCAACTCTTTAATTCATTGGTTTTTTTGTATCATTCTCTTAGTCTCCATTGCATCAATTTCTGCTCTGATCTTTATAATTTCCTCTCTTGTATGAGCTTTGGGTTTGTTATGCTCTTTTTTTTCTAGGAGCTTGAGGTTCTGCTTTAGGATATTTATTTGAGTTCTCTCTGTTTTCCTAATATGGGCATTCACTGTTATGAATTTCCCTTGTAGAACTGCTTTTACTGTGTCCCATAGATTCCTGTATGTTGTACCGGTATTATCATTTACTTGTAGAAACTGTCTGATTTCTTCTTTAATTTCCTCTGTGACCCACTGGTTGTTCAGGAGGGTGTTATTCAATTTCCATGTGCTTGTGGGAGTTTTGCAGTTTCTCATGTTATTGATCTCCAATTTTATTGCACTATGGTCTGATAATATACAGGCGGTAACTTCAATTCTTTTACATTTACTGAGACGTGTCCTATGAGCTAGCATGTGGTCTATTTTAGAGAATGACCTGTGTGCAGCCTAAAAGAATGTGTATTCTGATTTTGTGGGGTGGAACACTCTGTAAATATCTATTAAGTCCATTTGTTCAATAGCTTGGTTCAGTTCTAGAATTTTATTGTT